ATTAAAGACGCCATGCTCGTGACCTATATTTGAACATATGGCGGAAAAACAAATATAAATATGTGTATTTCACTGGCGGATATATATCCAGAAGTGTGTGTGTGTGTGTGTGTGTGTGTGTGTGTGTGTGTGTGTGTGTGTGTGTGTGTGTGTGTGTGTGTGTGTGTGTGTGTGTGTGTGTGTGTGTGCATGAGTATGTGTATGAGAGTTGTGTGCGTGCGTATGTGTGTTTGTGTTTGTGTTTGTGTGAGTGCGTGTGTGCGTACGTGCGCGCGCGTCGTTGTGCGTACGCGCATGTGTGTGTGTTTCTACATAATATTATTGACACGTTTAATTAGGCTCAGGGGAAAGCCTATGTCAGTGAATAATTAAAACAGCGAAGGCTTACAGCGCGTCTGTTTGGTGAATAAATCCGCAACATGAGCATTACGCGAGCTTTCCCACATATCAAATCATGTACCTGCCATTAATCGCACGCTCCGGGGATGCCCGCCGTGTTCTTTATACGCTTCCGCCGCCTGTTGTAATCCGCCGAGAACGTCACGCAATACTTAATGACCAGAAAAATCACTAAGGTAAGAGAGTATCACGCCAGAAGCCGTGGTCAGGGTCTGGTCCCATCACGAAACGTGTTCTACACGCCGTGCACGTAATTTCACATTCGTCGCATCTCGACTTCAAAGCACCGACGTAAAAGCGAATGTTTTTCTCCCATTGTGACGATGCATGACTAGTCGGGTTGAATATGGATGCACTGCCGTGGAGAGTCAACTAGGGACAGATAATATCCCAGAATCAATCATATCTGCTGCGGCATATTAAAGCATTGAGAAAGTTCGTCGGCGAAGCAATTTATTGACCCGGTGCCCATTAGCAAATATAATACTCGTGAAAAGAGCCAGCCTTCGACCGTATTATTCTAGTTCCAATTACCGTGGGGGAGTTATTTGTGTAATGGAAAGGAAGCGTAACTTTTCTAGACCAGGAAACACGACAGAGGCAATTCCGGATTACCGAATGAATCTTAATTAAAATTTAACAAAACTAAACAATTTAACTAAAATTGTTTTTCTGATGAAACCACTGCGACATGTTATACAGCCTTAAATCTAATGACTTTCTTTGTAAATTCTATCCTGGCCGACTTTCGATCAAGTAGTTTAAGAGCAAGTGGCGCGATAGGCCCCTGATGGTTGCTGTTCCTGCCCTTCCCACCCTATCAGTTAGGAATAATAGGTAACGTCCTATTCGGTAACATTTTCATCTAGAGCAAAACTTTTCAATTTTGTTTTAATTTAAAATAGGTAGAATGATTGTTGGTTGTGTGCTTTCTCTCTCTCTCTCTCTCTCTCTCTCTCTCTCTCTCTCTCCCCCTTCTCTCTCTCGCTCGCTCCTTCACGCTTTCTCTCCCGCCCCATCTCGCCCTTTCTCCCCTCTCATTCTCTTTGCCTCGTATTCTCTCTCGCGCGCACGCACCCTCTCTCTCTAATTCTCTCTCTCTCTCATTCTATCTTTTTTTCTATATCCTTCTCCCTCTTTCTCCTTTCTCTCTTTCGCCCATCTTCTATCTTTCTAACCCCCTCTTTCTCTTTCTCTCTCCCTTTTCTATATCTCTTTCATTCTATACCCCTGTCTCTCTTGAGGCATTTCTGCTTTCTTGCGCACCATTTAATCAACTTCTCCTCTGAGATTTACACGGCATGAAGATGTCAGCGAACTGGCCAGGCGCACTTAATAGATAGATAACAAGCTCCATCGCTCCTGTGTGATATCGCGTGGCACTGCCGTCAATGCTACTACATATACAGCAATGCGGTCACCGCCAGACACACCTGCGAGAAATCCACGGAAATTTAGTAAAACAGGGCGTGCTCGCCGCGTATTGAATTTTCCTTCGCCCCCATCGATCTTCATTCGCTCCTAACGACAACCGCGTTGGCTGTGTATACGCAGCGTTCTGTTGACACGTAGTCTAACACACGGGTATTCCACCGCTTGCTACCGTAAGTGATGATGGAAACGACCACCACCAAATCGAAGGTATTATCGCGTTCACACCACTTCCTGCTCGCCTACTAGAACGAAAGAGTGTCCACGAAAAGAGGGAGAGATGGGGAGAGGGAGGGGGACGGGGACGGAAAAAAGGGAAAGGAGAAAGATGGGGAGAGGAAGGAAAGAGGTGAGAGAAAGTGTGAGAGAAGCTGTGTGCATGGGGTAGAGCCCGCGGAATAGAGATATTAGTGGATGAATGCCTTTTTTAGTCGAAATTTTTTTACGCGGAACGAACTACGATGAAAACGGCCATTTCTGTATATATACTGCGAAAAAGCCAAATGACATCAAAAGCCTATTGCTTATGTAATGTTGACGAATGCTAGAGTAACTGGCACCTTGTGCAGTTAACAAATACATAACCTTACATCCAAACGCGTATTAGTTTGTCCAATGTCACTGCTGGTTACTAAGAAATGCCAAATTGAAATCCGCAGTCCAAAAATCAGTTGTTTACAGTTTTAAACCGCTGCCAGCGAAGCGGGTGTGATACAGATTTATAGTGCACCGGACATTTTCGCACGCATGCTCGGCCGTACATAATGCTATCATCAGTGATTTCGTAAACATGGACGCTCGTGATAGGGAACTTTTCGTCAGGGCTGTCCACGTGCGTTCGTGATTAGTACGTGTGTTTTACTCCATTTCCATGTTTAGTCCGTGGCGGTGTTTACACCGCTGACACCTCCATTTCATCTGGCGTCCAAAACATACGGGCCGCACAAATGTTTACGTCATCGCTTGACTCCTGGATGACATTTACGGCACGTAAATGATACGTTGATACATATCAACAACCGATTTCAAGTCTTGTTTGTAATGTCACCAGCAGTG